GCCTAAAGTTTTGCATGAACGTAAAACCTTCAAGGGTAGATGTGTTTTCCGCAATTCAGACTATTTCGAAAGTGACGGGCCATGATGAAAGAGCCACGTTCGTGGATTGTGCTGTTGATAGAATGGACAATTGAGACGTTCTCTGTGTCTGTTCCTTCTACTGAAAGTTCTTCTGATTTCTTCCACCGCAGTCTCAGGTGTAATACGACATGATTAGCTACCACCAGCTCGCCTGCACTCTCACCGTCTTTTCACTAAAATTTCAAAAGTTTGGTTGTATCGCTATGTTTCTTATATGTTCATAAGCCACTTAATTCAAAGGGTGTTTCCCTGTAATTCATACTTTTGTTCTCGTGGCCCCGTTCAGTGCGCTCCTTTCCAAGTACCGGTGTGCTGCAGAGAAGCAACACCCGTGGAACTTGTCTCTGCGTGTGTTGCTTCTCCGCAGTGCACCGATGCTTGATGGGAAGCGCACTCAACGAGTATAAAGCGGGGCACACATGAACAAAGAAAAATGGGTGCCACGGGGAAGTTTCCATAGCAACTTCCGGGGATGCTGTGGCGTGGCGGCATGGCATAGGACCACGTCACAACGTCTGCACAAGTCGCTATGAAAACCTGCACGCGGTGCCTGTTTTCATTGCTCGTGTGTCCCCTCCTAATAGTTCACATAAGACAACTCCTTGGCCGTATTAACAAACTTAGTTTTGTTTTGAGTCGTTAAAAGCTGTCTAAGCAGTACATGATAAACAACGTTTTTGAGAGATAAATAAGCTTGTGGCCACACGTTTCACAAATTTTCATGTGTGGCATACCTGCTTGTGATTTTGATTATGATCTTCTGCTTAGAGAAAATCGCCAAATATCTGCTTCGTATGTGTAGCCATTTATATGGCTAATCATAATTTTATCTTACATTTTATTTAGGTGAATTTTTGATAATTCAAACTTCCGATAATTCAAAGAAAATTTGTGGCTTCCTGGAGCTCGAATTAATGAGGGTCTACTATGCCAGTGCCTGTGTGAGCACACACCTATTCATGCATGCAAATAAAATAAATATACAATAAACAAAACAAGAATAGACTGCTCGGCAATGAGATTAGATGAAGCCATCAAGAGACAATATTTCCTTGTCGGTAGGACATGCGGAATGTGTGCTGACATACCTGCTTTTCTCCAACCTTCTTGACACAAAGTGCCTCTATGATTTCTCGATTTTGAAAATTGTCATATTTACATCCGCCAACATCTAGGGAGTATTCCTAGAAAGTTTCATCTGTTTAGTCTGCATAGTTATCTTTTATAAATTATTTTCAGTCCACCGATGTTAAAGAAAAGCTAGAGGCTCGAGCACTGTGAACGCGCTTTTCTCCATTCCATTTTTTTGGCATAGATTTCACTTAATAAATCTATCGTTTCAGTATGGAGCTATCGAGAGACTCAATTTACGCAGCTTGTATACCAAAATTTTATGAAACCGGTTACTATGAACTTAGATTTTGCATATTAATTTTCCTTTATGATGAAAAATTGTAATTTGCAAAACTTCATAAATGTGAGGGAAGAAGTTTTTTTTAAAATTATTTTTCTTTTAGTTGTAAAATATATATTTTGTGAAATTTCTTTTCATAGTAACTGGCAACAGGTATTCCAGTATGCATTCCACCAGAAAAATGTGGGGTTATGAACACAATTTTTCAATGATAGATTAGTTGAACAGACCCCATGCCAAGCTATGCTTTATTTCGTTCTGGGGTATAGCACCGTACCTCATAAAATTGGTTCACGGGGCTGAAACTTCACATGCCCTCTTTCTATACGGCTACTACTCCACTTTCAGATTTCATGCTGATTGAGTGAGCAGTTTAAAAGTTGACATTCCCAGGTAGTGTTCTCTCTTAATTAAGAACTTCAGTCCTTGTCGTATTAGTGCCTTTTAGAGCGCAGCTCTTAGGGGCCCATTTCCGGCTTGTGCGGCGTCACCGTTGTGGTCACCGTCGGCGTAACCGCGAGGTCTTGGGACCCCTCCCCCCCGAGGTCACATAACCCCCAGGTCACATACCCCCCTCCCCCAAGATCATGCAAGCCCCCCCCCCCGACGTCATGTGATCCCCCGAGGTCATACAACCCCCCAGGTCACGTGGTCATGTGAGCCCTCCAGGTCATGTACCCCCCTCCGAGGTCACATGACCCCCCTCCCCCCCCCCCCCCCCCCCCCCCGAGGTCAGGTGACCCCCCCCCCCTTCCCTCGGGGGAGATTGAAGGATGAGGAGAGGAGGAAAATGGGGCATGCCCTCCCCTCAGTACCCTTCCCTCCTCCTCCTCAAAAGTGGCGCTCTAATTCGGTATTATAGGGAGTTGTAAACGTCTTTGACTTTTTTTCATTCTTGTCTACTTTGCTCTATTTAATTCATATTGAGCATGAACCAACTAGCCCCAACAGGAGTCATGATGCAAATGTTGTTGTGTTTTGCTCCGTTTTACCTTAAAGCCTGACTACACTCAAGGCTGTGAGCCAAGCGAACCGTTAGGGTGCTGTGAGGGGATATGTTTTGTTTTTCGTTTGTTTATGGGTGTGGTCAATTTACCTCTAGCAGCTCATTGGTTCGAGTGTTACATACCGTAATATCGCGATATTACATACCGTAATATTGCGAGTCATCGCCTGTCCCCGAGTCATCTCCCACCCCACTTTTTGGGCAAATATTGATTTCCAAAAAAAAAAAAAACAGAGTGATCGCCCACCCCTACAGGTACCCCAACGTGGACTCCGCGATCCGTGAACATTCATCTTACCCGAATGGCGCGACCACAGAGCTTGCGGTTAGAGAACATACGTAACAAAGTAAAACGAAGGAGGGAAAACACTTAACTTTGTTTACGGATTTCCTACCTGATTTCCACAACCCCGAAGTTGTACTACATGGTGTGGAAGGAAAACCACGGAGAGAACAGAATGAAGCTTTGGTTTGCTTACAAAAAAGTTCGTTCGAACAAAATACGAAGTTGGAAAGATAACACAAGCAGTAACCCATTCAAGGATCGCAAGGTGAGGGGACACCCCATATCGTGGAATGCAACCACGTAGTGTAAGGTCAACGTCCGTCTTCACCGAGATTAGGTGACCGGGAACTCGCTCGTTTTCACGGAACGTCGCAATCGCGGTTAGTAAGGTTGTGCAATGGTTTAAGAAAGAGCCAACGGGTAAATAAGGATTCGCTGGATCGCCGCACACAAATGTTTGTGAAGCGTCCCATTTCGAGCTCCTGGTTTGTCGTGCTTTCCACACCAAGCTGCAATGCTGCCTCAACCCACGCGTGTATGCACCTAGCAAGAAAGTTGCACAAGAGCCTGCTTGTTGCGATTGACAAGGCGCACGACTGGTCCGACGCAAAAGTATTTTCCAACGCGACCGCCGGCTTTCCCGCTTCCCCAGCATCGCTCTTCGTCAATTCTTTAGCTCGCTCGATTGCTCATTGCGACTGGTTGGTTTTTCTATTTTCTTGTTCGCTGTTTTATTCTTTTGATACTAACGAAGAGAACATAACAGTGTTAGCAGTGTGCTTTTACGGAAGAAATGTTTGCGTTGTGTGCCGATCGGCAGTGTTCATTGCGCGCACGCAAGCAGCAAACTTTGTGATAGTTAAGCATTCTTTCATGAGCATTTCTGGGATAAAACATTGAAACTAATTTGAGTTTTAGTTTAAATGTACCTCTTGTGCTGCCGCCCTAGATATGTACGAAAAAATCTGCGTTTTTGTTTTTTAAGTTTTTCTGATCTTTTTGTGCTTACCCACTGAAACATGTACCACCCATATTTATTTTTTTTTTTTTATGAATTTCAGGTGGCTGGAGGGTGTGCAATGACAGGATATTATGTTAGTTCTTCTTATGGGCTTTGATACACACAGTTACTGATGGCAATCTCAGTTACCACAGTAGACTCATTAATTCAAGCTCCTTGAAGCCACAAATTTTCTTTGAATTATCGGAAGTTTGAATTATCAGAAATTTATCTAAATATGATCCAAGATAAAATTATGATTTGCCATATGAATGGCTACACATACAAAGTAGATATTTGAAGATTTCCTCTACATAGGCCTGCTGATCATGAACAGGTATGCCACACGTGAAACATTTCTGAAATGTATGACATAAGTTTATTTATCCCTCAAAACATGTTGTTTATTGTGGACTGCTTAGACAGCACATGACAACACAAAACAAAATTAAGTTTGCTCATCAGGCCAAGAAGTTACACGCCAGCAATGATAATGGGCTCCGCGCAGGAGTTTTTATAGCGACTTGCACAGATGCTGTGGCTTGGACCTATGCCATGCCACCATGTCACAGCATCTGCACAAGTTGCCATGGAAATTTTCACATGGTTCCTGGTTTCATAGCTCATGTGTGCCCGCTTGAGCCCCGTTGTGTGCGCTTCTCACCGAGCACCAGTGCACTGCAGAGGCATCACCTGCGGAAGCAAGCTCTGCAAGTGTTGCCTCTACAGTGCACTGGTACTTGGAAAGAACGTACTCAACGGGCCCGCGAGAACAAATACTATATGAATTACATGAAAATGCGATTAGAATTAAGTGGCTTTATGAATACATTAAAAATGTAGTGGGACAACCAAAATTTTTTAAAATTTGTTTGAATTAACCAAAAGTATGAAATGTTCGAGTTTGAATTATTGCGAGCCTACTGTAATGTGAAGCTCCTGTACAAACAGATCTGTTTTTCTTAGTTGCTCCTCTTTGTTTTCTTTCTCTTTTTTTATGAGAAAATTCTCTCTTGCAAAAGTGTAACGTGTAGACTAGGCTCTGTTCTTTATTGACCTACCTTGTTCACAACTTGCGTTTCATTAGTTCCTTAATGCAGCATTTCAATTATTTAAATCTTTTACTAGAGACAGTCAAATCGAATCTTTAGGAAGATTTCTGCTTCGTGCTTCCCATTAACTCTTTTTATTATATTTTTTTTTTTCATTTCAGATTCCAAGGAAGCGAGTCTTGTATAGAATTGTTGCTCAACTATTACGGAAAACAAATTATAAGTCTGAAGGACAAGAGGCAGAGGTGAGTGGGAACAGAACAGCTCTGCGAGTTTGGTGTCCGGTACACACGCAAGAATGTTGCAGGTCTGTGTCTCAAAGCAAGCAGCATGTCTCTTAAGCCTAGTGTTCAGCCGGTCTTAAGAGGGGACATGGCCTCGGAATTCAAAATTTTCAGAAAAAAACGTTTTTTTCAAAAATGATATGTTTATGCTTATTAACTTCCAAAGAATGGTTTCAGAAACTTTCATTTAAAAACATGCAGGATTTATCTCAGAATAAATTATTTTCGACATGTCGGCAGCCCTCCAAGTCAGCAGGAAGCAAGTTTTTTGTGTTTTTTATTTAGCACTGCTTCATACTCGTTTAACCTAGCCAGAACATCTCACCCTCATTGGAAGTGCCATTTACTCTAGATCTAGCTCGTAGAAGCTTTCGAAGTTTACAAGTATCAAGGGCCAGGAGGACCCAATACATCCAAAAAGAAAAAATCCTGAAAATTTGGTATGAGCAATTTTATTGGTTGACACCTGAAACAGGGTTTATGGTTGGTCCCTCCCGGTGACGTCATATTTTGTCGTCGTCATTAACGCCCCTTTACAGTACCTTCCACTTCAGATCCTATTCCTGCTTTGCTGCTCTTTCTCAGTGTGATTTGCCTCTTAGTTCCTGTCAGCTTATCTGTCAGGGAATGCCTGCTACAAAAGTTAGCATGCCTACAAACAACACAAACTGGTAGCTATTGCCAGGGGAACAACAGATGCTCAAAGACGAAGGTGCTAACAATGCTCCAGGTGAATTTTGCCTACCTCGGACTCATAAAAAATAAAGAAACCTAAAGTTGAAACTTCAAATGCATTTTTCTCAGTTTCACTTTTTGGCAGGAAATGTGGTATGAGGAAATGTATCATTGGACATTTTGAAAGTGTAAAGATTTCATTCAGTGTTGTCCTTGACTCAAATTTCCTGAGGAACAAGTTAAGGTACTCATAATCTGAAAATGCTAAATTCTTCATGACAAAAACTGAATATTTTAAAACTCACAAATTTGTTAAAATCGTTCGCTCTTTTTGGGTGTTATTGTTTTTCTCTAGAATCGCATTTTTTACAGTTAATTTTTACCTTAACTTGCACTATGGGTATTCTACTTCACATTAAACTAAACATTTTGTGGATTTCAATTATTATTTTTCTTAAATACATTTCCTAATAAAGTAACTTTTTTCTGGAGCTTGCTAAGCATAGTATGCAGTAGAATTGGCCTATAAGGCTGAAACTTTAGATGTCATCAATCCTAATGGGGTTCAATTCACCCTGAAAGTTTGAATCACTTTGAGACAATGGTTCAAAAGTTGACCCTCCCAGGCCATGTCCCCCCTTAATTGCTGGACTTCTCGGCATCTTTTGGCTCATTTTCAAATTTAATCTTTTTTTTTAAAGTGGGAGTTTGATTGTGTGATTGTTTACCAATCTGCAGAGCATTTTGTGGACTTCTTTTTTTGTATGTGCCATCACATTGAAGACACACGATTGTTTTGAGGCACAAAATAAATAAAGCATTTTTATTGTTAGTAACATTGTAGGATAGAAATTTAAAATTGTATTGAACCAGTTCTGTCATTTCTAAAATGAAGGTAACTAGAATACTACCTTGGAGCAGTTTGTCCACTTGCCTGAACTTTACACTCTGGGCACATGCTCGGGCTGTCCATCTTGGCTGGAATGAATTTCGGAGATCTCTCCAACGTCGATTGACCCAGCAGTTCACTAAAAACTTCTTTCTTTTCCATCTTCAGGTCTGCCCTCCATGCGGCAGCATACGACGACAGCGTGTTGTGCCTACAGATGTTGCTGAAGGAAGGTGCGGATGCCAATGCGGCAGATTACAGGAGCCAGACACCCCTCATGATGGCGTCCAGGCGTGGGAGCTGCAAGACTATTGGTGAGGGCCCCTCTATCTTCTCAAGGCCAGGTTTTGTTGGACAGATCGGTATGCCCTCACATGCCAGCACTGGAGGCTTGCGCAGAAAATAGCTAAGAGAGTGACGCAGGAAGAACTAAAGGAGTGAGTTAACTTGTGCATTCTGCAGCAAGTTTGCTCCTGTACGCTTAGAAGTGGAGCCATGGGCATTAGCCATCATTACTAGTTAACCATTCATTGGCAAGCACCCTTGGAAATCACCCTCTTTCGGTCCCAGTGCTCGGTCACCAATTGATCGAAGCGAAGTGATAGGTGAATCTGACGGCTGCACTCTGTAAAGTTAGAGCAACATGCCCCAGCAGCATTCATCTGTGGCACTGCGAGAAGACACTGGTCGTAGATCTTGCAGTCCCAAAAGGGGGGGGGGGGGGGCAGGCAGTGTCTCATTTATCGGCTAAGGAAGCCGCCAGCTAAGATTATTAGCTTAGGATGTGCAATATGCTGTTCTGTCCTGGTGCACCACAGTATTTTTGTGCTTTGACTGGGCAGGAGATACAACAAAAAAAAAAAAAAAAAGATGAATACAAGTCTTAATTATCACTGATCTGGACTGTTTAATGTGCTGCTTAAACAGTACTGGTTATCAATGTGCAATTGGCTTCACTGCGTGCTGAGGTAAATTCATTGGTATTGTTTGGGGGTAGGCACGTTACTCAAAAAGAACTGCTTATCTGTTTTGCAGAGGCCTTACTGGAGCACAAGGTGGATTTCCTTGTGCAGGATCAAAATGGCAACACTGCTCTTCACCATGCTTGTTTAGAGGCAAGTATTTTATGAATCTGGTTTGATTACCACTTTTGGGCTTTAGCCTAATTGCATTGTCGTAGACTTCATAATAAATGTTTTAGTAAGTGTACTAAGAACTGAAAGTCCCCTTAGGGTCTGTCAGTGTAATTTTTGACAAAGTTTATAAAGTCGTCTTCCTGGCAGGGTTGATCTTGCTTTTGCTTTTTGATGAGGTAGTAAAGTCAAACTGTTGTCGCCTGTATTCTTTTTCAGAAACAAGAGGCTGCAGTAGCTACAATCCTGGAGAAGGCAGATTTCGTGAAGCTCATCAACATGATCAATGTTCATATGAAGACGTGAGTAGCATCGATTTTGTGCAAACGGGGAAAGTAAAGTATGGTAGCTGCGTGAAACGTCTTTCACCGACTTACTGTATACAAACCCTGTTGCTCAAGGGTCATTGCTCTACCAGCTTTATATGAGCACCATCCACGGACCTTAGTTGCTCTCGCTGTCACACCATGGGGAGAGCGTCAGTGACAGAGTGTTGATGACTCACGGTTTGACACTTTTTCGTGGCTTACACTTTCTTCTATGATTTGACGTTGTAGCATACACGACCAATGGTGTCCCTCTCCCCCCCCCCCCCCCCCCCCCCCTTTCCGTCTGATGCATAGGAACGGGAGTGTTAGTAGAATAATCTAGTAGGTGCAGAGGCATTTTACAGTCAGATTGCATTCAAGGCGGCATTTCAGAAAAAGGTGCAGAGGTGTATGGATAAAGGAAGAGAAGTCCTTTATACATTCACAATTCCTTCACCACATGTCACATTGCACATCATTCAACAAGTGCTGCCTGCTAAAAACCAATCAAGCTCTGTTGCACCTTCGTTGCATCTGACGGACTTCTGACGGATTTTTCACCCTCAGTGCACTCCATGTGGCTGCGAGCAATGGCCTGATTGACGCCACCCAAGCCCTCTTACTGAAGGGAGCTGATGTGCTGGCCCTGGACATGAACGGTAAACATGTGCAAGTTCAGTTGCAGGCTTTGTAGTTCCTGCTTCATGTCTCAGTAGACTTGAGAGTCCCGATTCTGCGCCTCGCATCATTGTCGCCGGGCAGTGTCTCCTAATTTTGAGTAGTGTCTAGGAGGGGGGTAGTAGATGACATAAATGCATAGCAGTAATGCGATTTTTAAGAGCCATATGAAGCGAGGTTATCTTAGCACATTATGGGCAGTCCGTAATCTCTCTGGCTTCTAACCAGCAGAAAGAAACATCTAGCAGCTATGGCAGTGTGAAATCAGTTTGGACTACACAGAGCTGGTCATCTAATGCCTATCTTGATAGTGTGGCATTGAGAAGCTTATTTTTCTAAATTGTTTTGTTGCAAATTTTTTTAAACTTTCATTATGCATTTGTTTGATGTAACAAAGTGTGACTGATGTTGGCACAAGTTCCCTGCGAAGAGCAAGTTTAAGCTCCCAAACAATAAAATTATGCTTCTCAAGTTACATTTTACAGTTTAGCAACGAGTTCAGTCAATAGGCAGTTTTAGAATAGCGCACGCTAAAGCTTTGCGTACTCGAAGAATAGCGTCTTTGCCACTGCGCATACGCCGAACGCTAGCTGCAGTTTGTTCTTTGCGGGCGCTATTTTTAAAAAATTGCGTTCGCATGCAAAGAGTCTTTGCGCTCCTCCAAGAAGGATTCGTGATGCGAAGGCTAAGGCCGAGACAAGCACAGTTAAAAAATGGCGGCTCCCAGGATCGCGGCTGCGGCCGCTTTGGCGTAGTCGTGGGCGTGACGTCAGTGGGGTCCTTGCGACTGCAATTGTTAACACAGGGCGACATTGCACTCGGTTTGGAAGACCCAGTAAGTTGAGAAACGATCGCCTCCTCTCTTGCCGAGGGGATGCAAGCTGACACGACCAATCGACCGCTCCTGTTGCATTCTCATATTTCAACAAATCTAAAAGGTTAACCTGGATAAAAAGAAACTTTTTTTTTTCCCATGTTGCAGCTTGTGTGTGAAATAAAAATTGTTACTGTATCTTGGTGACGTTCCAAGCGTGAGATGCTTGGGCTTTTTTTTTTTTTTTTTTCGCGTTGTGGTTGAGAAATGCTATTTAAAGTTGTTTTTGCATAGCTTGTCCTAACGAAATTGCAAAATTTAGCGCTAGCATTGCGCATGTTATTCTAAAACTCCCTATTCTCTTTTGTCAATTGTTTATTGTAGTTTCATCTTCAAACAACTTGCCGCAGTTTACACCAATAATCTTGCAAAATTAAATATTGAAAAGCACTCTTCCCTCACAAATCAGCATCCAATATCCAGCACCGTAGATCAATCATACAGTTAAATAAAACTATGCATTGCCAAATGTTCATTCTCCACCCATATGTAGTGCTACCAAACTAAAGCCCAAGTTTCATAACTAATTGTTATCTCATTCAAAAGTTACGGGTGTTTTTCTGAAATATTCGGTGGGATAAAGGTAGCCGATGGAGACCTCGAACATGGAGCTCAATAGTGCCAGCTAGCAAGGGCGAGCCCAATTTTCCCATTGAAATTTTCAGAAAATCACATACCTTTTGAATAGTTCAAAGCGACTAGTGATTTTGGACGAATATTTTCAAATTGAATACAGAATAGTTTCTCCAAGCCTTTTACTACTGTGGCACCTAGCTTAAAGAGCCTTTGAAAAGAAAAAAAAAAAAAGAAGTTTCTTTTAACAGTCTAGTTGAAACACGCATGTCAAAAAATTTATTTTATGCCAAAAAAAATTTAAAAACATGTTTAGAGCAATATGGTTGGCGCGAGACGTGATTCAGTCACTTTCTTCCCACTTGTTTTCTCTCAGTATTTCGAGCGCAAGGAGGAGAGGTGGATCGGCTTGGTTATCATGTTGAGGTGGAAAGAGTGCATGACCATTCTGTGACATCATGGACTTTGAGCGCAGAATTTAAAATAAATATTGCGCCGTCAATATTGCTCTGAACATTTTTTTTTCCTCATAAAATTATTTTTTTGTCATGCTTGTCCCAACCAGACTGTTTAGAAGAAACTTTTTTTTTTTCTTTTCAGGGGCCCTTTAAAGGAGAACCCAGATAACTCGTGAAGGCTCTTCTTAAGCTATCACTTGTGCATTTCTGAGCTAAGTTAATTTTAATCTATGTGTGGACTGTAACCTCAGAAAGTTCAATGCCTACATTGGGTTAGCAAGAAAGTGATACATTTGACATGAAATTAAACCTATAGAGATGCCCAGCTAAACCTAATCATCAAGGAGTTTTTGTAAATCTTCTTGCTATACACAAATATTCTTTCCTAAATCTAAAATATGAAAATAAAAAAAAAAGACTGATGAATGATGGATGCAGGTTGTTCGGATACCCCTGCCTAACATATATTCTCGCATTATAGCCACTTTTTAATTTTTGAAAAAATTACCTTAGTGTAGATATCAACATTCAGAAAGTTCCCATTTCTTTTTAAATACAACAGGCACGCACGTGCGCCGTCCTGCTTTGAAAGTGTTCTTTCCTCCTTGGCATGCGACCACAGTATTTGTACCATTCGAAGTGATGATCGTGGTGGGTTAGCCCCTTTGAGTGCGCTTCTCGCGAAGCACCGGTGCACTGCAGGAAAAGCAACACCTGCTGAAGCGAGCTCCACGGGCGTTGCTTCCGTGTAGTGCACCAATGCCTGGTAAGAAGCGCGCTCAATGGGGATAGCCCACTACGATCAACACTTAGAAAAATAAGAGTATTGCGGCTCATCTTGAAGCAAATATTCAATAGCGTATTATTCGAAACTACTATTTGAAAATCTGAATATTTGCACAACACTACTTTTGAATGAGATGACGGTTAGCTCTGAAACATTGGCATGTGGTTCTGACCGCTAGCACTACATTTGGGTGGAGGCCGAGCGTTTGGCAATGCGTCATCCATTTTCGCGGCGAAAATAGCCCTGTAATCTTTGGGGGAGGGGGACAGGGGGAGGGACACGCCATACATAGTGACATACGTCCGTTTTTCTTGGCTGGCTTTTTTTTGCAGGAATTCGGAGCTCACAAAACAAGGCTGGGAGCGATGGGCGGGACAGTGCAAAACCCAAAAACATCACTTGCACAGCGTATCTCTAGCGGGTGGCCGTATTTTTTGGAAAAGAAGTGCGCTATTGAACACTGCCGACGAGACATGTGACATCTTGATTCTCATTCCCTCACCTCTTCGCTTCGTCCCCTCAAGCTGGTGAACGAAGCGAAGAGGAGAGGAGCAAGGCAGCTTCCCCTCATTCTCAAATGTTCCAAGAGGATTGTGACGTCATAGTCCTCGCTTGATCGCGTTATTCTTATCCAAAAATACGGCCATCCGTTTGAGATGTATCGATGTATGAGTGATGTTTTGGAGTTCATAGCGTCCCGTTCAATGCTTCTGTGACCTTATTTTTTTTAAATCCAAATTTCGATTCAGTATTCCCCTAAAAAACTGATCCCCACCATCTAATGTTTGTCTCCTTGCATCTACTGCTTGCAGGGCACACCCCTGCCCTGTCTTGTGCCAGGAGCAATGAAGTAGCGGAGTGCCTTGCTCTCATCCTGGCTGTGATGCCGCCATCAAGTCCCTTCCGCATGGACGGCTTCTCACGTGAGTGCTCCCGTCTGCCCTGTCACATGGATGGATCATGAGTCGGATTCCTACTTGCACCTGTTTTCATAACATCCTTGAGCACAAGGGCTCTTCTCATTCTCCGGGATCCCTAGAATACCTTGACGAACGGTGGGGGGAGGCCTGTCCCTTTCTGCAGTCTTTGTTCTTGCGATCCAGCCATTTGAGAGCTTGAGCGTACGTTTCTTCTAATTCTTGTGTAAAATTGCCCTCTTCAGATAAACCCGCAGAGTCGTCGTTGAAAGTGACGGAGCACTCTTCGCTTTCAAATAGAGCTTCCCCTATTTCTTCATTGGCTAAACTGAACCTCCACGTTGAGGCCACGTAGCCTCTCCCCATGTTCGCAGGTGTCAATTTTATTTTTTTTTTTCCCGGGGTAGCGGAGTTTTTTCTCGGTAAAATGTTAAACAAACATCAAAAGAATCCGAAGGGGGCGGAGCAATAGTGGTAGTGCTGCCATCTGATGGAGAGCACCCAAACAAAGCTCTAAAACCGAAATGCTAGCCAGACTCTTGGATGGGCTTTCTCGTTCGTAATAAACTGCACGAGCGACAGTCACGATTAAAATCGAGGGGTTAACGAATTGACCAATACCAAAGATTCTTACGAATCACCCGACGCAACGGCACAATGCTGTCTTCAAATTGTTTTCGTTATTTTGTTTTTGACTTTTAGTTTTGTTTTATAAGGTACTCTTTTAATTTTGCTCAACGCCAGGTACGAGCGGCCTGTACCAGCAAGGGGGCGGCCGCCTCTCAGAGCTGCTTGGGGGCGACCAGTCGCAGCAGCTGAGGGCCTCCTCCCTGGATGGGCGGGAGTGCTCGGAGCCGTACCAGAGCTCCGACTCGGAGTACTACTGACGGTTGCTGCTGCCCGCGCTGATTCTGCTGGGAGGCTACGGTACTGGCAAGGAGTCTTCGGAGGCTCTGGCCTAGTGCCCACACCACGAGCAGCAGCTATCGCCCGGGCGGCAAACGTACGGACTGCGATGGATAATTTGGACAATTCAGCCCGACGACGACGACGCGGTTTTTGGGGAAGTTTTGCACACCCTTGCCAACGAGGGAAATGCGTGCATGCACTCGCGGCCCATTGCGCGGGAACGAGTTTGGCGCACGGGAAGGGGCTCGGTACGTGAGAACAAGTCTCGTTAGTTTTGACTGGGCGGCGCACGAATTTGTTCTTGGACGGTCGACGGCGAAAGGTCCAAGGACTCGTTCTTTCTTTGTTTTTGTTTTCTCGCCCAGGTAGAAAGAACTGGCCGCTCGCGGCCAAAGTTTCAAAGTGTCAAAAGCGACTTGTGGTGTCGACGTCGCCATGTTCGTACAACTTCGTGATACCAAAAAAAAAAAAAAAATGAAATGTTTGTTCTTTAGGACATTCTCAGACACATTGCACTTTTTTTTTTTTTTCTTCCTCATCATTTGTTTTTTTGTTTGCTGGCTCTGGTGGGTGTAACTTCCTGGGGGTTTTTCCATTGATTTTCTCAGGTTAAGACGCATTGACGCCGGCTCGGCATGTCGTCGAGCAGGTGTTATAGGCTCGCGCCTTGCGTGGAGGCGGTTCTTTCTCCTGGGAAGTGCAGCTGTTTCAACTTGACGTACCGGCCCCGGCACCCTTTCATATGCAACACCGGTTCGGTCGTTTCGGTTTGCTCTCCTCTAACACGACGCCGTTGTCGCGTAAGACGATGCAGGGTTTCTTCAGGCTCAAATCGTTGTTCCGTTTCTCGGCGCGCTTGGAAGGCGTCGGGACGAAGGCCCATCTCAAAGTGGAAACAACTTCAGTTGTGTTTCTCGGGGAGGGGGGGGGGGGGGGGGGGGGGGTCGAAAGATGTGCACGTGTCTTAGGGTCCTGCCGGGAGAGGAGTGAGGAGAGGTACAGCGGCTAGAAAAGTCCGTTTTGCACCCAATCTTCTAAGCTGGATTGTCTTACCTAGTCTCGGTCGATGTATCTCTTCCACAGCGAAGGAATGAAAGGCGAAACCGGCTCTTTCTCGGCCTTTTAGTGGCTCTCGCGGCCGACTGAGGCAAAACCCCTCCTTTCTCACACTCCGGTTGCCAGCGGAAGCGACTTGGCGGCAAAGTGCGCGACGCCGGGTTTGTTCCGCGAGCAGCAACTACCGTACGTGTCGGCAACGACAGGTTTACGCAGCGTGCGAGGGGCCTTCCCCATGGGGCCGGGATACCCCCACACTACAATAGTATTAACAGTCTAGTTTTGCGTACCAAAGCCTCATACTATATGCTGACGAGTTGCACCAGGATACCTACTATATATGCCAGATATTGCCTGTTGCAACGACAGCCATATTTTTTTCCCTGCCCCTCTTTCCCCGTTTTTTGTTAATATCGCTTCCTGTGATATGCGTGGTCTGTTGTCGATAGTTTCCTATTGGTTTAGACAGTCTTCTTTTATTTTCGTCTTTTTTTTTTTTCTCTAAGTTGCGCATAATTTAGACTCCGGGGAAAGGGAGAAAGAGGGCAAAAACGGAAACGCCCAGTCGGCACGACGAGATTCTGGGGTGTTTTTTTTCATAGCGCTCCCCAATTGTAGGTGTTGGTGAACAAGGGTCTGCTTAAAGTAACGTGCTCTCATGCCTTACTACCATTCTGAATTCTCGGAGGATCAAAAACTCAATACGATTTTACACCGCATCGCTTTTCGCGCTAGAGTTTGATCTACCGACATGCTCGGCGATTTGCACGTAAAGAGTGGTACCGCTTATGTTGTGCTTATCCGAACAGTATTAAGCCGCTTTAATTTTCTTTTGTGTTTGACCTTCATTGTTTTCAAGGCAGTTGTTTGTGCTTTGCCAGCTGGCCGAAAGTTTAATTGACAGGGCTTTGTAATTAACACGTATTGCTGCTTGTATGGGCTTGGCATGATTCGATTCGTTTGGGGCTATTTGAGGCATTTCACTATGTTGTGCTGAGACGCCAGACACGATTTAGACGCACACTAACTTCCCGCCATTTTATTTGTGGCATTTATTTCTGTCTGAACGTGGCCTGGTTGGTGAACGATGCCTTTAACATTCAAGGTTGAATATGTTTTTATTGGTTTGGTGCATTAACAAAGGCTTAACCTCTTTTTTATTTATTTTTGTTTGTGCAAGAAACTTCTGTTTGAACATGAGTTTCGCTCGAGGCCCAGCAAAGTTTCGCAGAACAGTTCCAAACGTGAAAAACAAATCAAACTTTCCTTTCTTTATACTTAAAATCAGTTCCACATTTGCAGTTGTATGTGTATGTTAGCTTCACTTCCCCATTATATCTATATATATATATGATGTGTATTATAGCATCGGGCAGTGTTGTCTGGTCCTGTTTCTGATAGCTTCGGCAGACTGCACGAACTCTTGGGTCTTCTCTCGTGTCTGGCTCTGTCAAAGTGCAAATACCACCCTTGCCCATTCCATGGTACAGAACTACGCGTGTTTGTAGTCTCTGTCCAAGCCAACGTTTTCTCGTTTTTGTCCAGAACATATCTAGCGACTTTGGTGTACTCATTCTCGGGTGGAGGTCAGTCTTGTGCAACAATCCAGCAGAGTGGCTGTCATTGTGGACATAAAAACACTAGTCTCAGATCCACAGGTGAAGCCGCTTTGCGAAGCTACTTTGCTGGTGGAGCGTACTGAAAAGTCTGGACCGTGCAGCTTCGTGTAGTACAAGCATACATATCTCTCAATTCATGAAGTGCCACGCAGGTAGTAACCATGTGAATGGCACTCACATTTCATCTTTTTTTCCCCGGGCCACATCTTTCAGTTTTTTTTTTCCTCAGGCATCCTTCCAGACGGCCATTTCAGACTAACATTGACATAATTACCGTTATTGATGGTTGCAAGCTGCGGGGAGATGCATGCACTGGGTTTTGCGGAAGAGGGGAGCAACTTGCGTTTTGAATTAAATTGACAGCGTTGCTTCGGGGAAAATGTTGAACTGCTACGGGGGCTTCTAGTTTGGCAAGTTACCCTTATGTCTGTGCAATGTGCATTCGGTGGAAGGGGGGGGACAACGACGAAAGCAAGGTAAAAATCCAACGTGTGCATAGTCTTAAGTGTTGCATGTAACGCGCGTGTGGAAACCGAGAAGGTTGGGATCTCGACCAACACCATGAGGCAACAGTTCCCTCCCCCGTAGCCTCGTGCCTTAACTAACACGACGCAGCATCCTCGTCTCCTTGTCGAAAGAATTCTATCCACACACAAGGCCCGCACGCTCTCCCTTCTCACTCTTTTTTTTTTCTTTCTGTTGCTCGTTTAGCGGTGTTTTGGAGTTCTCTACCCAAGTCCTGCAGAAGCATGTTCAACATGTTTTGAATCCTCGCGCCTTTTTTTTGTTGCCTTATTGATCATCGGCGACCCTTGTTTTCCTCTCCAGCTAGTTCGGCTCGCGTTGCCCTTGCGTCGTTTCTTTTGCTTTGGAACGGTCCGAAAAGGTGGTGCTTGATTTCTGGGGGTAAATCGGGAAACGAACACTGCAAGCAATTACTGTCGGCATATTTCTTGTGTTTGTTTCCGGATGGCTTCCCGAGAACTGACAAAGTTCCCGTTTACGAGGGCAGGGTTAAGAACCTTTGTTCTGAGAATGCTCTTGCTGCACCCTAGGCTCTCAACGTTGTTTCGGCGAGCACTTCTGCTGCGTCGTGCGGCTTGGTTCCAAAGTATAGTGCCATATGACCCGGTCAATGCGTGGCGGGCACAGAGATGCAGCGATGCGAGCACGCATTCCTTCCCCGGCTGTGATTGGGCACTCCGTGAAAGGCCTCCATTGCTCAAGGCATAATGCAAGCTGGTTGCGCTTTTGGTGCTTTGTCGACAATATGCACAATTGCTCAGAAAAAGAATCTAATGGTATGCACTGTTTTCTCCTTTCTTTTTTTTTTTTGCGTTTTTTTTTTTTTAGTATAATGGGGTCTGTTATTGATCTTTTTTCGAATTCTTTGGTCAGTGTTGGTGGTGGCTGAAAATCTGTTGCTGTTCTGTTTTGAATTTGTATTTAGTTTAGTTGGAAGCCTTTGTTTTCCCTCTTCTCCTCGTTGCCTTTCTTTTTCATTAGTGTAATACTCACGGTATATGCCTTAGACGAAAGAGAGACTATTTCGGCAATGCCGCGCGTCGGCTTGGAGAGCTCGGTGATTCTCAATGGTGGCCTTAGCCAGGGCTTAGCACATATATACTGGATTGGCTGGACAATTTGCGACTTTTGAGAGGTTATTTTGACGAGGCTCTTTTGTACAAAGGGAAGACTGGAAAGTCTTCGGGCACAATACTTAACTTTTCTTTCCCTCTTGCTAAGTTGGTCAGCGCTGCATTGCGTGTACCAGGAGCCTCCGGCCAATGCTCGAAAGACCCAACTGTAAAAAAGCGAGGCCAGGGGCAGTTTAAACGAAACGAGGTGTTAGATTTTATGGTTCTTTGCAGCGTATCATCGTAAGTTTTGGGGCTCTCGCCTGTGGTGGATCTGTAGGTGTTGTGTATTGCACTGAGATTATACATTTGCAGTGATCAAATATGCATTTTTTGGCGGGAGGTTGGTTTAGGGTCAACAAGGAGTGTGTGCTGCGATCAAGGAGTGCCATGCCAGTTTGTGTTGTACTTACTGTGCACCAGCGGTTTTCAAACTTTTTTTTTTTTTTCAGTGAATTACTCTTTGCAGAAGCTTTCGACGTCTCAAACGCCTATAGCCCCGAGTAGGTTTCGTGTGTCATACTTGGATCTCTGAGTTAAATCATACAGGAAATACTTTGTTGGACAGCTTTACGTGCAGTCAGGAAAACTGTCTTCGGGAAGCGATCGAACCCGTTGTCATTTAGTCTGATTAACAGACTCTCCTCTCAAGTATAAATCATGCATTCTGGAAAATCTCAGATTGATTGCCATTAGAAAACGCAATTAAGAGTACACCTCGTTGAATGCCCGACACCACTGGGATAGGGGCACTACAATTTGAGAACCGCTGCTGTATAGCGACACTTTCCATTGCTGTACGGAACAACCCACGAATTCTTGTTCTGGCAAAGTCTACGAGCCCTCGTTGTGCAAGTACAGCGGTCGAAGCTTTGAATTGTATGGAGCATACTTGGTCCGGTCGGAACAAGGGCGATGCTTGCAATGGCCCTTGAGGCCATTGCCACGAGAATGTGTGTGTTTGTAGAACGTCTTGTGGCCTCCCTTTGCACAGGAAGTAACGGTGGAGGGCAGTGCTTGGTCGCCTCCGCAGTTCTTGCTGAATTGGCATGGATGTACCTACCCCATGCCAATTCCGGAAAACAATAAAAAAATAGGGTGGTAGCATTTGCATTGCCTTCGCTGTTGCAATGGTAAAGGGGAACCGGAGACATCGCATTGCACACGCATACTTATTCTTCGGACACTGCTTCTAAAAAAGGCAGCTAGTCATTGCACTTGTTCCCACCGGTAACTGCTGGCCCATTATCATTCAGATTTTTGATGAGTGCACGACTGCTGAAATCATAAATTTTTATGCGTTTGTGTGTGATGCATTCAAAGTGCTCAATATTTATGTGTACCAAAAAAAAAAAATTTAGGCTTATTGATTGTGCAGAAGGTTAGAGTGGCGGGTACCTGACAGGCATTTTATCTTCACTTTTTTTGGTGGCTACGAATGTACAAGACAATCTAGTTACTTCACTGCGCATTGGAATGGTATCGGCCAAATTTACTTCTGAATTGGTATCCTGTTTAAAGTGCATTAGTTTGCAGAGTTGATGTTATCAATCTACATGCCGACCCTTCTGCTCTTGTTGGAGTAGGCATGGTACCTCTAGCGTTGGCAACGAGAAGGTTCTAAAAGTGTTGTCACAGGGTAGGTTCTGACATCGATACTGAAACGAAGCAGAGCCTGACATTCCGCGTCCATGAATTGTTCACTTTATCTAAACATGCTCTTGCTGGGGGAAACCATGTGCTAAAGGACCCCGCACTCAAACCGGGCAAAGTGCTTCAAAGTGGGGGGGGATCTGCGAATGATGGTAGCATCATTTATGTCCAGCAGCGTGCCTTGAAGCATCACCACGGTTAGATTGCCTAAGGCATCATTGCTCGATTTTGGACGAACTAATACCGTCAACAATATTTTACTCTGCGACTTCCCTGTAAAAGCTTGTTTCTGCTTCTCTTGCTCCTAAAGTTCGGTTACGGTTATCCCATGGTTCTGTCCGCCGTCGTCCAGACTTGGTTCAGCCCGTTGCTTCCCTTTTTCATCTAGTCTGAGCATCGCCCATTGAGAAAATTTGCTCATCAGCTTTTCTCGGCGTCAAACATACCAAACATGGTGTCAAGCACAACTGCCTGTGTGTGTTGGTGTTTTTTTTTTTTTTTTTGTCGTTTGTTTTTTGCACACACTTGATCACCGGTATCGAAATGTTCCGTGGCACTCGTTGCATCTATATACATATGTACTAGTCTATGAAGTGCGTATATTGAATTCCCAAATGTATACTGGCCGTGCGTCGTTTGAACTCCACTACTGCACCCGTCTGTTGTACAGTGGCCTGCCATTTTAGCGCCCGGGTCTGGAAGGGCGTCCCGGTTTTTTTTTTCCGTTTTGGTAACCGCTAGTGAAAACGCTGCTTCTGCAAAGTGTCTGTACGTAGGTGCCTATACACCCCTCTCCCGCTCTCGACTACTCACCTTTTTAATGACACCGGCCTGATCTGAAAACGACATCGCATAGCGTAGCACTCGGGACGTACCTAGTGCCTTTGGGGCACGCATTGACAAGCCATCCGTTTGCGACGGGCACAAGGGTCGATGCCGGCCAGAGGGCCTTAGCCGTTCCGTGTCGCTCAGAGTCTGCTGGTGCCAGTCTCGGTGCGGTGGATAACCCTTTTTGCAATAACGGCATGGTGGGGTGCCAAAAAGAAGAAAAAAAGAAAAGAAAGAAGCAGGGGGAAGAGGTAAACAGACGTTGTTCACCGTTTACGTTGTGATAAACTGTCTGGTCTTGCAATGGATTGTGATCGAAGCACGCTTGGCCTAGTTTTTCTCAAGGCGTGTGGGGCTCTCTCGGACAAACGCTGTTTCGTGTGCATTTGGATGACTGCGGCAAGGGAAGTTTGTCAGGGTCTTTGATCCGACGGAATTCCTCCACGTGCATTTTTATTTTTCTTGGTATAGATGAGCTTGCACGAAGGGGGGCACAATAAAGAGTTGGATTTTTTTGGGGTGAAGCTGATTTCCAACAGTGAATTTGGGTTAAACTGAATTTTCTTCCCGAATTCAGGAATCTGGTATGGGCAGTGTCTAGAGTTTGAGGCTGTATTTGTATGTGTAGGGAAGGTGAAAAATGCTAAAAATAGCTCTGCCATAGTGCAGACGACTGTAGTAGAACAGAAGCTGGTAATATTATTTTGTTCATCATACAAACAAACTTTTTGTAGTAAGCATTTCTGTTGCCACCAGTTTTTTGTAAGTAAAAAATCAAAATGGATTGTTATAAACTCTAATTCCCCCCCCCCCCCCCCCCCCCAAAAAAAAAAAGGAAAAAAAATGAACCCCTGTTCTTTCCATTTAAGGAACATATAGAACCCCAAAAACGTCCAACCCTTCACATATCGTAACATTCATGGTACATATTTAATTGTTTTTATTATCATTCTTTAATATAGCTCATTTAAATTTTAAGTCTTGATAGAAAAAGAAAAAGATATCAGTGTGCATTTAGAGCACTCACATGGATTCGTGTGCACACCAAGCACCTGTTGACTGAGAGAGTCCCATCTGTTCCTCCAAGTGCCATGCCTGGGCATGCCTCGTGCACTGTTGAGTTTAAAAAGTCTTTCTAATGGTGGCAAGGCAGCCCAGCTAATGCTGTGTGCAATCAATGGGCCTTGCAGCTCAGCGAGTCTGCTACAAGTAATTTTTTTTTCCTCCAGGGCTTTGCATCTTTCTTGCTTACCTCCCAGCGTGTTTTGTAACCCGTAGTGTGCTCAAAGAAAATGAGCATCGTAATATTGTTGCACATAAGTGTTGAGGAAGTGCACCCTTTTCTTTTTTTCTTGTTTGGCCTTTGCTATATTTTGATGTTGCAATATCAAATAGTGTCACCTTGAACCACATTTTTTTTTTTTTTTTTCGAGTTGCGCTTTGTAGTGATTTTAAAGTTGGCTGCTTTTGTTTCTTTTTTTTATTCCACACAAATTTGCATGATTGTTTCCTTGTGTGTCTGTAATGCGTGTGTATAATGTACAACACGGTGTTGTTTCCAGTAACGGTGTCTTTGGGTGCAGCGTCGAAGCAAAGTGCCCCCCAAGAAAGTGCCATTTTTAAAAGAACGCCGCCACGCAAAGATACTTTTTTTTTTTGCTGAAGGCAGATCTTTTTCCCTCGCGTTGGGATGGCATCGGACTGTGGCGTTTCGGTCAGTGCTCTCAGCAAAATGCAGGGTTGATGCCCGCGGCTGTAAGCTTTTCAGTCACAAGTTTGGTAGCAGCGTGACGTTGGCGTAATATCCGAGTAAGCGAAGTCAATTTTACAGCTAACCCTCGAGGGGAACGATTTCAGCCAACAGCAGCATCCCGAAGTTTAGTCAAACGTATCACCAGAGCGGAACCGGGAGATTTCATTGCCGTTTCCTCGCACAGCTGGTCTCGAGTCGTTGCCTTTTTGTTGTACCTTCCTTTTCGAGTGTGTAATAATACTATTTAAAATTGATATGTGATTCATTTATGAAGAGTTTTGCTCATGACTTGTAAACATGACATAGTAGTTTTGTTTTGCTCTATCAAAGATGTTTTTTCCCCCTTGGTGAATGTTATGGTTGTAATTGCCGTCGAGAGCATCTCACTTTCGTCAAAGTTCATGGGGGTAGTGTGTGTGCGTGCGTGGGCGGTCGCTCACGTGACACGGCAACATTTTGTGCGTGGGTTTCGTGAAGTAACATTCAAAGTTTGTGCAAAGGGATCTTTTTTTTGTGTGATCAACCGAGGGATACGGTGCTGTGGTGAGACTTGCAGTGGGAGTATAATTGTAGCTTTCGGCACCTAGCATGTTTCAGGTACATTCCTTGATTGTGACATATTTTGACATGATTAGAAAGCTTGCACTATTTTTTGTTTTGTAGTGTTTGCTCCCAGCCATCTTAGCAGGGGTCCAAAGGTCTCAGTGTGCTTTGCTTTAGGGATACCCATCTGTAAAAAAGAAGGATGAGAATTTGGGACTTTTGATTTGAGTAGTGCTCGTGCTGTTCGTGCAGGGTTATTCTAGTGACCTTTTAACAAACTGTGATAAAGTGCGAAACATTGTTTTACTAGACCTAACCAAATATATCTGAAGATGTCTAAATTTACCTACTCCGGTTATGCAGCATTTCAGAGTAGCCTATTGTACCTTCAAACACATCTGCATTTACGAATAAAAACAAGAAATGCAATTAGTTGTCATCCCTTGTCCTTTGTGTACTTGATTCCTAAAACAATTTATGCCATCAGAATGAACTATTACTTGTTTTTTTCAAACAAGAGCCAATATTTTCTCAACTTGCTAACTCGCACAGTTGGTCATAGTCAAAAGTGTGTCTGTGAACCAGGTCAATTTTCATGGAGCATTTTCAGCATGGTTAAATCAAAGTCGTCGAGTAAAACAATCATTGCAACTCTAAGCGAGGACTTTTTTTCTTTTTTTTTTTCTTCAGAATATGGTGAGGGTTTTTACAGCATTGATTTTTATGAAGTGATATAGCATTTTCGTATTTCTTTCTTAGGCCGTTAATCAATAAATGACTGCACATACATGCTCATTTATTCCATTTTGCATTCTGGCACTGACAATATGGATATCTGACGAGGCATTTCGGTATTCTTTGGTAAAATTCAAGCGTCAAGGAAAATGGTTGGTGCTTGTTTCCTGCCATTTATAAAAGCCGAAAGAAAACATTGAAAAATACTCCCAGAAATTGTTCCAAATAAATGTGAAAAAAAAAAAATGATTTGCATAAATTCAGCATCCAATCTTCTCTCTTTTCATAAACTTATATTTTTTCTCTTCTGAGAGGAAGGCTTACAGAGTAATGCTATGGGCTATGTATCAGAAAGGAGGACATCTCACTCTATACCCCACTGTGTCTGTCCCAGAAGGAAGCAGAGATAGGTACTGTATTTTTTTTTCGATTAGCGGGTTCGGTCAAAGTACTGCACTGAAGGCCTCGTGCGAAAAGGACGTGAAAGAAAAAAAAAAAAAAAAAAGGTTTCAATTATTTTGAACTTTAGAATGAACAGCCGCATTTGGATGTTTCTTTTCGACTGCAACTGGTAACTTTTAAAAATTAGCGAGAAAAATAAAACATCATGGTTCCGCCCGGGATCGAACCGGGGACCTTTCGCGTGTAAAGCGAACGTGATAACCACTACACTACGAAACCAGCTGATTTTGGCTGAATATAACCAAGTATTCAACTTAATTCAACACTAAAGACGTTTATGGTACGAGTGAGTTGTACGCTTTGTTGTATAAATTTACCAATCATGTGCACGACAGCAAAGCTAAAGGCACAAATCTTTAATATACATTTGCTGTCCTGATATTTATTTCCAGCGGATTTCAAGAAATTGAACGTTGAACCAACGCCTTCGTGAACTCGTGAACGACGAGCGTTTCGCCGCAGTAAGGTTGCAACGCCTATTGGCTGAGAGAAAAAGCAAAAACAAGCAAAACAACACAAACAGGAAGTGACGAAAATTTTTGTTTTGTTTGTTTTTGCTTCTTCCAATTTTACTTTTTGTTTTTACTTTTCGTTTCTCCAAGTGTTTGTTGGGCGCTTTTCGGAGCGGTCGCGTTGGTTCCATATCAGCGGTTCCAGCGGTAACTTACAAAGGGTAAAAGCTGAGCTAGTTGGTTCTGAGACATCTTGGGTAAAACCAGCTGAACAAAGGAAGGAAAGTGACAAGGAGAAAAGGAGAAACCAGCGGTCGGTTCGCCAATCTTTTCTCCTTGTCACTTTCCTTCCTTTGTTCAGCTGGTTTTACCCAAGATGTTCCAGCGGTCTTTCTTGTATCATACATTGTCGTGTTATGTGCCGCGGTATTGCCGAGTGGAGTTGGTCGTGATATTCAATGCTTGAGAACGGGCGTCGGCAGTGAAGTCCACAGCGCATTCAGCGCATTCATGCAAGCCAGCAACAGGCCCCGTCTCGCCACATGGAGGCCCGTGGGACGCTTGTTCGGAAAGTAAAAGGTGAGTGGAATTTACCTACTGGTGGCGTTCGATCGTCGATTCGACACCGCTGTGGTGGAATTTGATAGCGCTTGGCTACCTCACGTAGCGTCGGGGACAAAGAAGAAGATAATAGAGATAATCAACGGGAGTGGCATGTGGCTCCCAAGTGCCGCCTGCGCCGCATTTGCATGTTGGGAATGTCAGCTTTTGACGAGCTCGTGCAGTCACAAAAGCGTTCTGTCGAAAGACGGGATTTACAAACAGATCAGGCTTCGCGAATGGCCCTCACGGCGCGTCGAATTTGTGGCGGGTACGTATGTTGCTGTTCGTCCTGGTAGGCCTGCGATGGTGTTTTCTGCACAAATACTGTATTCTGCCTCGTGGTACATTCACACCTGCCGCAGAACTGCTAAGCGATTGTTAAAGTGACAACAAATAAGTGCCTCTCTGTTCTACTTCTCCTTTGGTATTCAACTGGTTGTATTTTCTACTACATTTTGTTCAGAAAGCCACTGCGAGACAGGCATTATTGATGTATACTATCCAAAATAATGCTTGAGCATGAGATGAGGTAACAGAAATACTTAAATATGTGCCTGCTTTTTGTGTTTTTGCACGACAAGGTAACAGAAATACTTCTTTATGTGCCTGCTTTTTATGTTTTTGCAATTCACCGGCTAGACCACTCTTCTCATGGTTATTGTTTTGTTGGGTGCAAAATTTTCCACCCCAGGTGTCCGATGCTTGCGGCTGATGGCTTCTACCTACGTGCATCAAACAGCGGGCCTGCACCTTCGCCGAGACAGCAGTAATACAGTTCTGGGTAACTGCAGCGACTGGGTCACCGATGCCGTTCCACTTCCTGCGTTGCACTCCGCATGGGTCAAAGGGCCAGCGCATGCCTTTTATGCGTTGTCGCCAGCCATAGTGAGTATGGCTTGGAGTCACGTCATGCGAGTGAACTGCTTGTCACCTGAGTGATGTCAGTTGGGGGGGGGGGGGGGGCGCCGCCGCCGTTGGTGCAGTTATGACCGGTGGTCTGCGATCATAGATCACCAAGCACCATTGCACTGTTCCTGGATGAACTAGCCGCTCTTGAGGAAGAACAGGGTGCTTTGGGAAGAGCTATGGTGTCCGCTTTTTCACTAGCTCCAGCTGTCGCCACAGACATTTTGTCGAAAGGAGCAACATCTATGAATGAGTAGACGGCGCTGAATGGCCGCAAGGGGCCTCGCTTCTGACCGAGGGGGTCAAAATAGTCCCGTTTTAACAGAGGTACCTCTTGGGGTATTGTACAACACAGGAAATAAAGGGCCCGAAAGTTTTCTACCTCGACAAGGTGTGGGTTATGGCAGGACCAATGCGGCTTTGTTCCGTGGACACCTTCATGTGTGGTGGCACAAGGCAGTGATTGCTTAACCTTGCTTAAAGGGGTTATGACACGCCAAAAATAAAATATTACATAACTATACTGCTAGGACCCATTGTATGTTCCTATAATCCTGCTAAATGTGTTTTGAAAAAGGCGCAATCATTTCGTGGATAAATCGATTTATATGCGGGCCCCTCAGATCCGGGCGGACCTGGAGGCTGATGACGTAGCCAGCCTCCAGCGTGGTGTCTACTTGCACGCACTCACAGACTTGGCTCTCTTGGCGTATCGAGCCTCAGCTTCCTCGTTTACCTTCCACGTTTCCAGCATCCGGTCTGTGACGATTACGTCTACGGCATCGATCGCCTTGTCGAAGTGTTCAACATTGATCGAAGCAGCGATGAGAGTGATTGCTATCAAGAGATGTTGGAAGCTGTTCATTTTGAATGCGACCCGCTGGCGACGAGCTCCAGCGACAACGAGTTCGCCGTGGTCACAGTCGTCCGGGAATGTCTCGCAGGCGCATGCAGGGTGGAAGGTCAACCGGCCGGGGGGCGAGAGCGAGAATAGCTTTCAGTTTACCGAGCTGTTTGAGCGTCGTACCGCGACGAGAAGAGCTTGGGCGATCATGGGGGTGCCTAGAATGAGAGAGTGTTCATGGTCAGGTGGTTTATGGACACCATGGTGTGACTAAGTTGAGCAGTGTTGCCTGGTCGCCAGATGAAAATTATAAAAATTCGTAAATTGAATATTGCAATTATCAGAGCTCTAAAAATTGCGTAACTTGGTGTATATACTAAGTAGCCTATGAGCATTCCATTTCAAGAATTGTCTATCCGTTTAATTTTCGTGTCATAACCCCTTTAAAGATCAACGACTGGACTGGTCATGGGTGGCGTGCCTGAGAGTGGGACAGTAGACGGCTGTTATATACCAACTTTAGACTTCATTCACCCCTTAACTGACAGGGCACTGGAGGCTACATGCTCGGTGAACCAGCCGATTGTCAGTCTTGCATCACTTATCATGCCCCTTTCTCATACAGATGTGCAGGTCGGACATGAGGCAATAAAAGCTTGGCCCACCAACCACATGGCTCCTACCGCCCTGTCAACGTAGAGGTGAGTTGGTGGGGTCTGCTGAGTGCTTCTGGCGTAGCAGCTCGGCAGTGGTGAGTTACTAGAGCGCAAAATGCAATACCGCACTTTACTCTGAATGCTGCGAGCCATTGGAGCCAATCCAGTGCCGAAGGTGTGTCACGTGGCCTGTCCGTTGGGCGCAACGGCACGTTGAGCACAGTGTCATCTGGCAGCGTCAAAGTGTCAGAGAGCTTTCTGGACAAGCGGCGATAATCAAGAATGAAACGTGCCCTACAGCTAGCTAGCTTCGAGAGTGTTACACATCGCAGTGTCAAACAAAACGGCAATATCAGTCAACAAGACCGAGTACCGCTTTACGACGAGAGTGAGCCCGCCTCGCACCCATCCAAAACAGCGTGAAACTGGCAAAAAATATTCTAACCCTAAAATTAACTTGGGCTGTTCGTACAGAAGGAGCACGCTTCAGAGAAAGAGTCGTGTGGGCATCCTTGTGTTCCGCAAGCCGTGCCTAGCCTTCAAATTTCTTGCGTTTGCTCTGATCAAGCTTTTGTGCACAGTTTTTTCCAGTGTATCGTTTAACAAAAAGTTACAGCTGTTTTGTACTGAGCAGGTTACAGGAACTAATGCCATCTGTAAATATCTCTTACAGCCGTGCTGTTTGAAGTCATCACAGATATAAACTACACGTTGCAGCAACTCTCAATCTCATTCCTGCCCGTCATGTCGAACAGCGTAGCGCTAATTTCAGTTTGAGGTCTGCACTCTTACTACAATGCAGATGGTGACAGCATCAGGCTGCACTCGGTAAGTTAGTTTGAGACCGGTTTTTTGTGCGGCACTCCGCGAGTGCGGTGCACTCTATGAGATGACTCGCATAATGCCAGTGCATTTGAAACGAGCTTGCTATAAGGCCCGCTACTCACGGGATAAGTTACTCATATAGTTTTTGGGCAGCTGATGAGTTATTCCCCCCTCCACAGCAACACGCATTGCTGGTTTTGGGTACGACTTGAAACCGATGAGCAGCTCCGACAACTCTAAGGTGTTTGAAGCGGCAGGAGCAGTTCAGGGACACAATATTTCCACGTGACCTCCCTTGCAGTAGTGGTGATGGTGCGTTTAGTATCAACTCCCTCAGCTCCGAACGGAGTAACTCGACTTGGAGTTCTCGGTGCATTTTAGAACACCTTCAAAAAAATCCCAAAGAAAGCTGCTTTTTTTTTTTTGTGGATGTCATGTCTGTTGGATTTTTCACTAGCCACTGTTGTTAAACTTCCAGAACTCTTATGTGCCGAGAAATTGAGAGAGAGGAGGGGATGAGAGTGCAGGAATGTCAAAACGCAGAGCTCCGATTGGAGCGATTAGTGGGTAGACCTAAAGCTTTGTCTGTACTGCACATGCAGAACGTCGGTGTCCAGCGTTTCGCATTCACATTCGAATGCGTTTGACGAGTGCAGTGGAGGTAAAGGCAGCCTTTGTTTCTGCTGCACTCGTTGAACACGTTCGACTGCAGAACGCGGGCGTCCAGTGTTTGGCTCTTGCATTGAAACGTCCTCGACAAGTGCAGTGGAGACAAAGGCACCTAGCCTTAGGTGTACCCACCAATCCCTCTAACCAGAGCTCGGGTGTCCTGACGTCCTTGCGTGCTCTCTTCCACTCTTCTCCCTCATTTTCTTGGCACATGCATCATGGGCAGATTTTAAGGATGGGGGACTAAAGCCCCCAAGGTTAACTTTTTTCAGTGAAAAATCTACTTATGCCAGCTTTTGTTAGGAAGAAATGATTAGTGGCTTCCATCCATACTCGAGAACCGAACTAAACGCAATAGACTACTTCCATAAATTCCTGCATGCAACACGGCGCGCGTTGCACTCTGGGAACTAGTTAGCCAGGGAGGAGAGTGGCATGGTTTCGGTTTCGATTGACACGTCGACAAGAGATACACAGAGCGTGGACCATAAACGGCCGTTATCTCATATTTTTTGGTATCGAGAGCGTCATTTGTGGTCTCTAAACTAACCTAAATGGCCAGACCTCGAATCTTTAGCGCGAGCCCGAGAAGTATAGCTTGTCTTAACGCATGCTTGTTGTATTTCTGTACTTGAGCCTTTTTGTTAGCGGTTCGAGGTATGTGGACGAGCCAGTGCTGGGAATCTCGACGCTGCGAAGCTCAGGGATCTTGCTTGTGTACGAATCAACAAGCTGTAGCAACCAATAAGTATGCATACATCGAGCTCGCGCCTTTACATTAGTGTTGCTGATCAAAAGGTTTTTTTTTTTTTTTTTTTTTGTGCATCCATAGACGAAATATTACTTTTTGCAATTACTGTTTTTCTTAATACGCCTGAGTATGCGAAGTAAAACTCTGACGTGCCATTGAAAAGCTCCATTCGAACACACTTCTCATCTCTTATCTGTACTGCCCCGCAGCACTGCACAAAGTGAAGTCCCCACCCGCTTGCCTTCCACTAATATTCAACATCACATATGCGCATAAAGTTATCCTGCAATAATATAGGTACATTCGCACATACAAAAAAAGAAAGCAGAAGTCGAGCACTTGTGTGAACAATGTCGCACCGTTCGCTGGAAGTGCACTAGACAGGCATGAATTCTGCGGTGTGTTGAACGAACGAAATTATTCAAAGCGCATTTGACGGTTGCTAATGGTCATAATATTTGTTATGTGTTTGCTTTCTTTCTGACTGAGTATGCCGAGATAATTTCAGACACACCATTGAGGCACAGATCTTGGGCATCAGTAAAAGCTCGTCTGAAAAGGCTGAGGAGGAGTTGGGGACGCTTGTTAGGGCCTCCGTCGTAGCTAGCCGATCTTAGCATTTGCGAAAACTTAATCTTCTATCAGCATAAAATTTGAGTGTGAGATATGTGATGACATGAGGAAGACATCACAGTAACTTTTGTGCAGTAGTGAGGTTGAATTTATTGTTTCCTTAAAAGTTAATGCGCCAATGCTGGGCTTAACTTTGATACTCCTGTGAGGATGTGGCTTGCTTTTCGCCCAATGAAGTAACAAGAAGCATTCGTTTGGCAAACAAAATACGTGTAGGGCTCAAGGTGACCAAATTTCAGTTGTAGTTCACTGGTACTGGACGGGATTACTGACACTGAGCTCAAAGATGCACTCGTGGGGTGAGGTGACTAAGCCACGTCTTACTACGTGGCTAGTCAACCAAGGAAAGTGCCCCGGTCTTCGTTTTGTATCGCTCGAGAATGAGTGTATTGTACATTCGTAAAAAAAGTCAGATAATCGAAAACATGAGCAGCGTATTCGGTCACGGCGTGATAGCATGAGATGAAGCTGCTCAGTAGAAACCGAAACTAAGTGGCCAACAAGTTCCCAGAGGGCACTGCGTGGTATTTCGCCGCGATGGGGCGCGTCGGTTTGGAAGAAGTCTATTGCAACGCCGCCATTTCTCCCACATCAGCCACTAAGGAAACTACACGGCTACACTTAGTGGTTCCGTCGAGTCGCAGAAGAGTCAGTGGCGCTGACTCTTCTGTGTAGGCTCCCTACGGAAGCCAGAATTGCGTGTTCATCCCCGTAGCGCCGTCTTTCCTGCACGGTATAAGGAGCCGGCGAATGGCAGCACGGTGCGCTCAAAAGTAGGGGAACGTATGCCAGGGTGCGTGCAATGTGTACTTTCGTGCACGGCATTTGAGTCTGCTCCTCACATGGTCGCATCTCGGTGAGTAGCGGTGCGGCGGTACGTGGAAAACAGCCATGCAACTATGGCTCCTGTAAAGAGCCTATACAGGAACTCTACGTGGCGCCATCTCGCAGGGCCATTTTGCAGTAGCTAAATAAAACAACTTGCATGTTTTAATTCGTCGCAGAAGGGTGGCGCTGTTATTGTATTTAGTTTGGTCTTGGTGGACGCCAGCGGTCCTGGTCCAAGAGTGAGTTTTCCAACTGAGCGTTTTCCTTGCATGTTCGGGTCAGATATTGGTTCCTGTTGACCTGATGGACTCCTTTGTTCTCTGCATTCATCATAGGTTACCGTCGTGAATCATGGACCAAGACTGCACTCTTAGGCCCACTCCTTTTTGGTGGATCGGGTCTTGCCATCTTCCCCTTTCGTGGCTTCCTGTCGTAATTAAATAAATTCTCATATTTTTTTCTGACGGTGGTGCGTACCTCTTGCCACACTTGGCAAAAATAGTGTGGTGAATCCATGCCACGGATTACTGTGAAACATGCGAGAAGGTAATTATTGAGAAGATTAAGCTCCGAAAAGTTCGATGGAAAGACAATAGATATACCCCGTTTAATATTTCTGACTACTTTAAGCATGCTATCTCCGGAGTATTTCAGCCTATAATTGCATCTCCTTTTGACCATTCACACGCTCACGGAAAGGCAATCGGCATGGGCTTTCAAATCTGCGTTCTGCAGATTTGAAACATTACCAAGTGTATTTCGGCACAACTAAATGTTCAAACTTAAGGCCATTTTGTTGCCATAATTATAAGTTTCTGCTAAGGTGAATATGTGTTCCTTACATTAATTAAAACGAAAAAAAAAAAAAAAAACTGATTACATTTGTCCTCGGAGTTTTTACAGAAGACCCATCGCTATCACCATCACTATTTTGATTTTTCCAAGATGGCCGTTTTGCTTCGTGAACGTTCCGTGACTTCGGCGATTTACGCGACTTACGAACAGCCCTGCCTAACTGGTACGTTAATTTTGGTGGCTATTTATCGTGTAATATCATGGGTATCTTGTGTTTGTACAGAAAGTAGTATTTCAGGCTAAGATTGTTCTTTGTACAGCGTTAGCTCGGTGGGTCATTTCCTCTGAACTGCTTGCCTTTTGTCCACGTTTCTTTCCCTCCGAAACCCATCACACTTTCTGGTTAATTTTCCTGTTTTCAATACCTGCTATTTTGCTAGCAAATATCCACAAACGTAGGTACCATGCAGCTCTACCTGCACTGTTCTTTTTATGTAGCGCAATTGCAAGAACCGCTTTTGTTTTGAAATTATTTAACTTGCGGCGTTCTATAATATCGTTAGGCAGCCCAGTTATGTTCGCAAAGAACACTTGGCTAAGCGGTGGCGGATAGCACTTATGTTGATGAAATGTTTTGCTTCCGCATATCTGGAAAGCATCGGGCAGCTGTCAACTATCTAGTGAAGAGCCGAAGCAAGACGGTAATGTTGGTGGTACGAAACTGAATAGTACTTTTTGTTAAATATTTATTTATTTGCTTGTCTGCTCGGCAGTGCCGCCTGTACCTGGACAATACCTTGGAAGATAATGCAAATACGGAGACAAAGCTGTACAGTGATTATACTCTGCATCTGCACTCTGAATAACGTGATGTCTCGGTAACCACGCACGCTTTGTTAGAGAGATTCGTTTCGCTACCTGCTAGGCATCACTGAGGTGCTTTAGCTGTGTGCTTTTATTTTAAGCTAATAGAATGTACTGCACCTAAAACAAGCAGTTGTGGGGGAGCGCCGTTTAGTGACACCATTCGATCGTCGTCGGAAAGACTTAGCTAAAGGCTACCGCACGATTCAGTGAAGCTTGTTGACCTATGCTTTGAGCAGCCGCTCTTCTTTGTTAGGCCGTAAACCAGGCAGAACGTAAAATTATTATTGTGAAAACAGCAGTGTTGTGACAAGCACGAAAACTTGTCTATAATACTCTGAACATGCTGGCCGCCCAAGCGACCGACTTGCTGACTGACCGGCTCGGCTTTGTCATTGGCAAAGGCGGAACAAGCAAATGCTAGAGCATGCAGCCAAGTTCGGTGAATTCCGTATTTCTAAAAGGTTGTTTGTCGCCATTTTCTCTTAAAGGGCAACTCCGGCCAAAACTCAAAATGAAATAAATTACTGGTATCGCTGTAGCGACACAAAATACGACCCCAGCCAAAATATTCCGTCCGCGGGACGCCGCATTCTCAACTAATGCCGATAATAAAAATGCGACCCGCCGCGAGCCGCTGCTCCTTAGCGAGCGGGTTGCCGATCGCTAAAGCAACATTGGGCCGTGACGTCAGTATCGTTCTTTTTTTTTTCTCCGGTCCAGGCGTTGCGCGGAGTGCACTTCTCTGAGCCGCTACCACCGCTACTTCGGCTTGTGATTGGCGTGTTTAGCCGTTGCTTTTATCTGTAGCCCGTGTAGCTTCGGTATACCCTTTTGTTTATTTGCTTGCGAGGACTCCAAGACTCGTTTTAGCAAGCATCGGTGCGCCCAAGACTGCCCAGCTGTTCCTCGAAAGATGCCGAGTGCAACTTGTAGCGCTGTGGGATGCTCAAACAACCCGCTGCGCAGCACAAAGGTGCTTTTTCACACGTTTCCAACGGACCGGAAATTGGAGAAGGTGTGGGTGAACGCTGTTCAGCAAGTGGACTTTGGACTTCAACTTTTATGCGCCCGAGGAAAAAAAAAAAAGAATGAAAAAACAGACGCATACAGCCCAGCACACGTGTCCGGGCGCCGCGGCCCACGCCGGAGAGCCTCAAAGCTTTGTGTCTCAGACTGACCCGCCGCGCGAAAGCGAGAGGGCCCCCAGTACTGTACGTCACTAGCAGCGCGGCATAGATTAACGCAGCTCCATCCACGGAGCCCTGATGACAATTTAGGCCTAGCGACGAGTACGGAAGACCGCACACACGGCGATAGCCGCCGAGTACGGCACCGAACGAGTTCACTTGTTTTGCAGTCGCTAGCTTTTGGGTATACAAGCGACGGGTACGGCATAGCGCACACACGGCGGCGGCCGCCGAGTACGGCACCGTACGAGCTCACGGGTTTTCCAGGCGCTAGCTTCTGGGTATACGCACTAACTCTTGCTACATATGCTAGATAACTACCACGTACACAGAATTAAAACAAAATCAGCTTCCTATCTTTAGACGGCTAGCGCAACTGAGGTAGGTGCCGCTCGGCCTGCGTACTCGTTGAACGAGAACGATCCCAACGTCACATTCACATAGCGGCTGATTTCCAGTGTTGTCCGGGCCTCGAGCAGCTAGTTTCGGTTTTGTTGGCCGCGCCCCAAACAAAACTATGGGGCGTCGATATCTTTTAAACTACACACAATAACGAGAAAAAAATTACACCTTGCAATTCAGGGACGCTGACTGCATTAAAAACAGTCATAATCCCAAACTCGAAAGTATGGACCGGAGTTGCCCTTTAACTGGGTGTCTTCTTGAAAGGATTCAAGAAAAGGAGGGTTTCAAAACCGGTGCTTGGGAAAACAGATGCCTCCGCTCAAGCGGTACATAGCAATGTTCTCGGATCTATCGGTTGACAAGCTCCACGGAAGAGCAGCGTTAAAAAAAATGAGACGTTTACAATTCTCTGTAATGTGAAAGTAGAATGCAGCACTTGACGAGGAGGGGAGGGTTTACCTCTCCCTTCCCTCCAATTTAGTGGGTTAAGTTTCCCCGCTAAATTTGGCGGGGAAATTGACGTCAGGTGACCCAACACATATTTAGTGGGGGAAAATGACGTCGGATGACTAACACCCATGAACAAATTCAGTTTCTCCGCTAGACTTAGCGGGAAAATTGGCGTCACGTGACTTCAACACCAATTCAATTTCCCGCTAAATTTAGCGAGGTAGTTACATAGACAGCGACACCGCTAAATGCGGAAACAGGTGCCTAAGAGCTATAAGAACCACAATAAAATCACTTTTCACTGCAGGTAATGTGCATCGAACATTCCACCGGATCTGTCCAATCTGTCCATAGGGTGGGCTGATAGTGTGGCAGGCGCCACTGAGCGGACGCACTGCAAAAAGGCGTCAGGTGTTTTCAGAAGCTTGTCAACTGACCTAGATGTGAGAATGTTTGTACATGTATTGCTACCATTGCCCAGCAAGACCGAATATTGTTGGAGATCTGTGTTTCCTGAAAAATGTTTTTACAATGTTTGCACTTTGGTCAATGCAAGCACATCTTTTTTTTCACTAATATTGACTAACAACATTGTAGCAATCAATCCAGTTGACACCGAAATGTTATAAGCAATAAAGAAATTAAAACCAGGCTGTTCTGCGAGTGCAGATTTTTATATCTTGTTTTATTGTTAAGGGCGGCACCGATTTGTTTGTCCCTTTATTCAAGCATGCATTTCATCTCCGAGAAATCATGATCTTCCATTGTGCTGGAAGAGGTCTCATAGTACAAGTATAGGACACTGGTTACATGTATAGGGTAGACAGTCATTGCCTCATTTCCTTACTGTATGCTCGTTTGAAAGTGTCTAGATAGTTATACACAGACATGGGTCTTTTTACTCCAGTTAAAAAGCAGCACTATTCAATGCAATGTTTTTTTGAAGGTTGCTCAGGAAAAACTATTTTATGTAAATTTGAATACACAGCACCATTTGTTTTTGACGGAAGCAAGTTCATATAATTTATTTTGATTTATAACATGCTTTTGATAAGATCAACCACAAATTGGTTTCGTAAAAACCTTTATTGCATGGTGTAGCATTGCCACTTTTAAAAGTCTCTCACGAGGTGAGGACGCTGAGAGAAACCTCAGTTCCCTGCCTCCAGCATGAGCTTCTTACCTTCGGCAATGCATAGAGGCTGGACATTTGTAAGACATTTCCAGCCATTCGCATTCTGTTGATGACGATATCTAACATACCGCCCGAATCGTGTCTGGGTGTTCAGTAGACCATCACATGTTCTTGTACCAACTTGGAGTGTGCCTCGAGGACCAAATGTAAGACGAGAATGGCAGGGAGGAGCTTCCTACATTTGGCAATGCTTTGGCATCTTGCAAGCCTCAACAATCCACGCAGAGCGAAAGCATGAGAAAAGGCGACAAGTGCTCGCTGGAGGTTGGGCATTAAGAGATGCCCTGCATTTCTCATATTGTCAGCGACTATTAGTACCGAGATGTTCTAGTGATATCCTTTTTCGTTTGCGACATCACGGGCAGTTTGATACTTCAGCCCCATGTTCCAGGTAAGAAAAAGAAAAGCCTTTCATGCGAGGCTTGTCAAAATATTAGGTGCCAGAAAATATCTGCCATCTACTTTCAGTCTTTATTAAGAATCCTATGTTCTGCGACCGAATTGAAAAGCACTGCAAAAGAGCCCACATACTCACCTGATCTCACCACACCAGTCTCCCCCTGCACAATAAGTTCTGTCTGCTATGGTCACCTAATGTCAATAGATGCACATTCAAATGCAGCAACTGAAGCTAGCTACAGCCACACTGTCTTCCAAATGCAGTCTGTTACTAATGCAACAGTAGATTGGGCTACAAGCCAGGCTTCCAAACAGGCTGCAGGTCATCCCTCGCTTTGGCGAGGGGGTGACCATGTGGTCAGCTGCTGCAGTTACCCAAAAGTTGAAAACTATCTGCTATAAGACAGTGGCATATAACGAAGCCTTAGCATATAGTTTGAGCATTGAGGAATGATAATTTTCAGCACATTGGTGGTGCAAATTCTCTATTTTGAAGTAGAGTGCAGCACAATAGGGCAAGCACTTTGGTACAGTGATTGCATCAGAGTGATGGTGAACCCCCGTCGCATCCGAGCTAGCAGAGC